CCCCCCACTCCCTCACAAACACACCCAGGACCCCAGCGCTCTCTGGGGAGCAAACTCTCTTTTACCTTCTCAGGGTTGGAGCCTTAGTCTGAGGCATTCAGAGGGAGTCACAAATCTTATACCAGAGGTGGGCAGAAGGGGGCGGTGGGTGCTGGGAAGACATCCCTCCGCTAGTGGCTCCAATTCCTGATTGCCCAAAAAGCTATGGTCGAGGCCTGGGGGACCAGCCCACTAGGAATGTTGGGGGCTGGGCGGCCCTGGCCCAAACTGGAGGCTCAACCTGGCGCCTACTCCTAGTTCCCCAAAACAGAACAGACAGCCTGAAGGAGCGGAGCCCAGCCCGATCCGGCCTCCTCCGGGGCCACTGCACCTCCCTCTCTCCCTCCCTCCCTCCCTCCTCCCTCCCTGGCCCGGCACCGGCCCCGCCCTCTACGGCTTTTCTGGGCTCCAGGTTGGCGCAAACAAAGCCCTGATTGACGGCCCAGAGGGGCGGGCTTCACTGCTGGGCTGCCTCCTCCCCTTAGCGCCCAGCCAGGGATTTACCGGGAAGGGCGGGGGCGGAGAGGAAGAGACTGAAGAGGGAGTACGCAGGGTTATGGGGGTCTGAGCCCCTGGACTCAAGAACATTGTGCCCACTCTCTGTCCGAAGCCCGGGCTGTCCCCTCCAGGTTGCGTCCCCTCCAGGTGTCCCCCCTCAAGCCCAAGGTGTGGGAAGTATATAGGAACTCCCCAGGGCAGGGTGGGGTTCTCTCACAAGCCAAATCTCCTCGATCCTGACGTTCCCAGGGCCACCCCAGTTCCAGGCTGCTTGTTTGGAAGGAGAAAGTGGGAGCATAGGACAGGCGGGGTATTTCCTGGGGAGTGAGTTGATCAATACCCGTTTCGAGCTTGCGAGGAGGAGAGGGCAGGGGAACAGGGTAGTTTGTGCTCTAGTTTTTTCCCATTTTAACTCTCCCTTTACTGGGCATCTGGACAAGGAGGACAGGATTTAATGGTTTGTAAAGGGAGTTGAGAGACGCAGCAGCGGCTAGAGTAGGTAGGAAAGTATGAGGAGGAGGAGGAAGGGCAGGGAAGAGAAATCCACAGCGGCTGCCGGTTGAGGGAGGAAGAGGTGGGGGAGAGGGGGTTTCGAAGGGGGAGGAGGAGAGGGCTGGAGGGAGCGTCTGTCGCGGGACAGGCTGGCCAGCTTGGGCGAGGAACCGGGAAGAGGAGGCAGTGGTGGCAGCAGCATTTCGAGCACTAACAGCAGCAGCAGAAACTACCACCAGCCACAAAGCGTCTCCTCCGGCTCGAGCAGCCACAGTCCCCTGTCTGTGATGGCGCTGAAAAGCTCAGAAAGCGAGGAAGCCAAGGGGCCCTGGCGGGAGGCAGGCCAGGAACAGCAGGAGCCAGTGGGTAACCCTCAGCCAGAGCCGGAGCCCTTGCCAGTGGTCCCAATGGAGCCCAAGCCAGAGCCCCAGCCCCAAACAAATCCTGCAGCCCTGCCAGAGCTGGAGCTTGAGCCTGAGCCAGTGCACGAATCGGAGCCTATGCCCACCGTGGAGACCCGCGGTACAGCGCGCGGCTTCCAGCCCCCCGAAGGTGGTTTTGGCTGGATGGTGGTCTTCGCTGCCACCTGGTGCAATGGCTCTATCTTTGGCATCCAGAACTCCTTCGGGATCCTCTACTCCATGCTGCTGCAGGAGGAAAGAGAGAAGAATCGCCAAGTGGAGTTCCAAGCAGGTGAGTGGCCCCCAGCGCCCCACCTGGCATTCAAGGTAAAGGTGTCTGCTCTCAGACCCCTTACCTCCTGGTCCAAGGAGCCTTTCCAGCTCGTCACTTCGATTTCCTTCCCTTGCCCATTGCCCGTAGCGCTACTATTGCGCGGGTTGAGGGGCTCTGAGTAGCATTAGCTGTGGAGACTTAGGCGCCAGATGTCCTGGGTGGGACCTGGGACATTCATTGAGCACAGACAAGGAATGAATTTTATTGCCCTGGGACAAATCCTGACGCATCTTTTGGGTTTAAGTACCCTTACCACGTGCACTGGGGGGAAATATTTGCAGAATGTTTGTGTGTGTGTGTGTGTGTGTATTTGTTTTTGTTTTTGTTTTTGTTTTTTTTGAGGGGGGCAAATTCAAGGAGAGAAAAGAGAGTTGGGAGGCTGGGAAGACTTTAAGAGAAACACTGTACCGCAGATCTCTGCAATTAATCCTTGTTCCTGTAAGGGGAGTAGACACTTTAGGAATCCTGGTGACTGAGTGAAGAGTCAAACACATGGTAATTGTGTGTGTGCAGCAGAGAGAAGAAGAGAGGGAGGGAGTGCAAGTGGGGGTGTGCGTCTCTTTGCCCATGTTGGTTAAGGCCCAGACGGGCCCAGCTGTCCTCTGCCACTCTGAGGAAGCAAGCAGATCTCTGTGCCCTGTGTGCTGAACCCCAAAGCAGACAGGAGGCGGTCACTGAGGTCTCCAGTCCAGAGAGGCATGAAGCGGCTGGCAGGCTGGGCCCTGTGGTTCACTCTGTGCGGGCCCCCAACTTCAGCCATCCCTCTTTGGTGCCCCAGACCTCTCTGCTATCCTCTGTCCTCCTGGAGCCTCTTTCAGCCTTAGCCAGAATGCTCCCACCTCTCCAGCTTTCACAGGAGGCCAACTTGGTCTTTTTCCCTAAGACAACCAGGGCTGGGGGGCGTAGTCCTCACTCTTCAGGCCTGCAGCCAGAAGACCAAAGGCTTGCGCGCTCCTCTCATTTAGCCTGAGTGTGAGCTCAGAGAAGTCAGAACTCCATTTCCTCAGCAAGCCACCCTGCAAAGCCCCTCAGCGGTTCTGTTGAGGAGTCTTGGGAGGGAACTGAGGGGTGTGGAGCCCCTCTCCTCTAGGCTCACTCCCTCTTGTGGCTCCACAAGACTGCTGCATTTGTGACCCACTGCAAGTTTGCAGCTCAGAATCTGTGGCTTCTCACAGTGTTGCTCTGGGCTGAAGGGTTCCCTCCCACTCCCAACATATACTTCTGCTGCTCTCTGAGGGAGCCTGGGAATTATTTAGTGAAAACAGAAACCTTGTTTTCGGGTGCATTCACCTGTGAGTCCCCTGGGTCCTTGGAGAGCCTCTCCTACCGCTCTCAACCAAGGACTCGTTTTGTTTTCTTGTTTTTAGCTTCACTGGGCTGCACTTGAAGGAGTGTGGAGGCTCTTTATGCCTCCGATCTTGTGACCCATCGATGCCAGTGTGCTGGCCCCACTTGAAAGTTTGAGTGTGGGTCAGTGGCTGTCCAGGGCAGTCTCAGGACTGCCCAGGCTGCATTGATGCCTGAATGTTGCGGGTCCCTGGACTGTGTGAAACAACTTCTAGGCCAGTGGTTCTCAACCTTCCTAATGCCACGACACTTTAATACAGTTCCTCATGTTGTGGTGACCCCCAACCATAAAATTATTTTCGTTGCTACTTCATAACTGTAATTTTGCTACTGTTATGAATCATAATAATGTAAATATCTGATATGCAGCATGTATTTTCATGTTACAAATTGAACATAATTAAAGCATAGTGATTAATCACAAAAACAATATGTAATTATATATGTGTTTTCCAATGGTCTTAGGCGACCCCTGTGAAAGGGTCGTTTGACCCCCAAAGGGGTTGCGACCCACAGGTTGAGAACCGATGCTCTAGGGGGAAGTTACTGCCACACTCAACCCTGGGACTACCTTTTCCTGCTTTGTTACACTTCAGGGGCTCTTGGGAAGGCAGCCAGGGTAGGGCCTCTGGCTGTTGCCTAGGTTACCTGGGAGGGCACCTGCTGAGCATGATTGCTCTGTGGTTGACTGCGGGCTGTTGGCTTTTGGAATCAGTGGCAAAATCTGGGTGAAACTTCATGGGAGATAGTGGGGGATGGGCTGAAGCTAGGCCCTGGCATTTATGTCCTGTGAGCAGGCCTAGAGCTTTGCCTTAAGAGTGTGTAATAAAACTTGGGAAAACCACTATTTTACCAGGAAGAGGTTCACTGCTGAGGAACAAACTTCAAAGTAGGTGATCATAGTGGATTCACAGGGAGAGCTGCTTGGGACTTTCCTGTCAAGACCTCACTGTGCAGCTGGGAAGGGGTGCAATGGGCTGTGCAGAGGTGTAGCTGGTGTGTACTCTGACACAGACTAGGTCCATTAAGGGGCTGGGGTTACTGGTTTAAATTTTGGTGAGTATAGGTCAGGAAGGGATAGAAAGGAATTTGGTATGTTCCCAGGGTCTCAGAATACTTTGGCTTGGGTCATTGCTGGGGTGTGTCTTCAATTCATGAAAGTTGTTTTTGATACTGAGGGCTCTGGGGAATATCTCAGTTTTTAATTTGAAAAAGTCAGGAACACCCCTACCATAATCCTGAGTTCCTGGAAAATCTCATCCTCAGCACTACCTTTCTTGAGCACCTCAGCTTTCTTAAGCAACCATTCAGATCCTGAGGTTCCAAATGTATCTCTGCCTCCACACACTTCCTTCCGTTTCCCCAAAATTTCCCTGCCACTTGTGTCACAGCACTGTTTTCTCAAAGGGATAGAAGAAGCCCACAGAAGCTTGCTAAAATATTTACCAACCAGTATGTACCCAACAGTCATTTTGGGGAATGCAGAACATACACCCCCACAGTCAAGGGGGTTGGGGCATTGTCCATTTCTATTAATCTCTGATATGCCTTCCATCTCTAAAATATTTATGAATTTAATGTTTGGAGGCACCCCACAGCCAAAGTTCTCTTTGACTAGGCTTGATATCTTCACAGACTTAAAACTGCACTGATTGGCTTAATGGGTCTAAGGTTCTGCAGATGATTTGGGCTATTGTGAGGGAGTCCCAGAAAAAGGTAGTTTTTATGTTTAGGGGCTAGATCCACATGAGAGGAATCTCTTGACATGGGTAAAAGTCACAGAGTAAAAGAGACGTGAAAATCAGGCTATTCTGGACTCTGAAGTGTACAGTTATGTAGTGGCACTAGCAATATATTTTGTCCCTTCTCTTCACTTGTTTTGAAAGGGAAGGGAAGCTAATTTTCCTTGCATCTTAGGCTTGGGAGGACTGGCAGACAAAAGTTTCTGAGATGGATGCAAGTGACCAAGGTTTGATTTAGGAAAAAAAGAAAAAGATCAGGAGAGAAACGAGCCTATACTTTTTGCAGAATTTGTGGGAAATTTGGGAGTCCCGCAACTCAGACCAAGCAGCAGACAGGACAGGGGCAACCAGGCAATTTGACAGAAATTATAATGTGGTTTTCTGGGATGAGAGGGGAGCCTTTTCAGAAAAGAGAAGCAAGGTGGCATTGGTTGCAGGTCTCAGCTCATTATTGAAACTAAGTGAGTTAGAGCTGTGGCAGGGTTAAAGTTGAGGGTCCAGGGGACAAAGCAGAATAAGCCAGAGTGTTAACATTGGCTCCAAACTTAGGTCTTTTTAGTGTGCCCAGAGTAAACCCATTACCCTGCACTTTCCACCTCTACTGCTAGTCTAACACTGAGACATAAAATATGATGGGAGGAGTCTTTTATTGGGTAGTTTATAAGTATGGTCTTTGCAGGCTCCCAGATGGGGAAAGTATGGCTAGGGCTCTCACCACCCAGGAGCAGGGTCGATGATCAAGAAGGTTGGGCACGAGATAATTCAGGCTCATTGGATACTCTGAAGATAGAATTTTCTAGGCAAGGGAAAATGGTACTCTGACTTTGGGGCAAAGTCCCAAGGATGGGTTAGGCTAGTGGAACATTAGGCTCTTCCTCATCTTAGAGGCTTTCATTGCTTAGTTCAGTGTCTCACTGGGCTGACCACTAAATGCTGGCTCTGGGAGCCAGGTACCTTTTGAGAAAACCTGCCAATGCCTTGCCTTCGACTGAAAGCTTTTGCCTACTGTCCAGAGAAGCTAAATCAGGTTGGCTCAGTGCCTACTATGGAGCTTCAGGTCACAGGGCCATTGGCCAGGCATTGTTCAAGTCAATCCTCTCTGCCTCCTCTCCAACCAAACTGGGTCCCAAACTGAGACTTTGACTCATACTGGAAGGGATGAGGAAGAGAGGTTGGGCTATTTGGAAGTCAACAGGGAAGATACTTGTTTGAGTTGGTGTAGCTGGTTGAGGCTTGACTCGGTTCACTCACGGTCTAGTAGCCTCAAATGCTCATTCTAAGTCTAGATGTGGACCCCAAAGGGCTGTTAATTTCAGTAATACAAGCTAGGCAGTGACTATGAGTTAGATGACTTGAGTTCCTGACTTGCTCTTTGATTTTGAGCAGGCATTTTACTTCTCTGTACCTCAGTTTATCTGTCTGTTAAATGAGAGGGTTAGAGTAGATGAAATTTCTAGCTCTGCAATTCTAGCTTTCTAAAATTTTGTGATATTTTATTCTTTACATTCACCTGGCATTAATTTTGACTCATTCAGACAAATGTAATTTATTAATATGCCTGAATTAGAGTGCAGATGGGTTGAGAGGTAATTGGAAAAGCAATGAAAAGCCATATAGATATCATTTGACCAGGTTCTGTGTAAAGACTATGATGCTATTCATGTGTACTGATGTAGTTGAAAAGACCCACTCCTACTTTACCCAGTATCCAAAGGCAACTCTGGATGTACAACTGCTTCTTCGAGAATGCCCTGCTCAGCATAGAACTGGGCCTCTAAGAAGATTCCCTTAGAGTGGGTCTGTATGCTGCTTTTTCCTAGAATTTGAGTGTATTCCTAAAAAAGCATTACACTGTAAACATTCACTTAAGCCTCACTTTTAACCCCTCTCCTAAAGCTTAATTTCTCAGATCTCATTCTCCTTTATCAGAAATTCATGCTTACTATGACCTTGGTTTGCTGTTACTTCAAGATAGAAGAGTAAGCCAAGATTCCTAAGTGTGATACATTGGTTTCCTTCAGGTGGCTTCAGATACAGCATCTTTATTACTGGCTCTACTGCTGCTGCATCCCATTGTGGTGGGTGTGGGAAGGCTACCTGCCTATTGTGGTCATAGAGAAGTACCTCTTGGGTATCCACAGTCCCTGGTCAACTTCAGCTTCACTATAGGCCTCGCTGAGAATGGGTACTGAAATAGCAAGCACAGAGCCCTCTCTTCTTTTCCGTGAATTTATACTTGCTTGTCATTGGAATTTTTCCTCCAGTGTCATGAAGAGTAAACAAGCAGCTGACTGTCAACATTTGCAGAAATATGTAAAGGATGCTATCTTAACCTTTTGAGCAGACCAGTTTCCCAGAAACATGTGGTGCTTTTTTCCATCAGCATCTTTTGAATTTTGAATAGAAAGAGTCATTTACTCTTCTCAGTGTGTGAAAGATGGAATGGGAATTCCTGTCTTGAAAAGATCTGTTTCACCTGGAACTGAATGAGTAAACCTTAGATAAAAGCCTTTATTAGTAAAACCTTAGAGAAAAGGTTTTATTAATAACCTTTGTTCCAGTTGCTGGGGTTTGTAGGAGAAGAAGAGATGAAATTGGCGGTCCCAACCACATATTATTTTTTAAATTTATATTTATTGTTGAAAGTATTACAGATGTCCCCTTTGTTTTTTCCCATTGAGCCCCTTCACTCCACACCCAACCCTCTCAGGCCTTCACCACACTATTGTCTGTGTCCATGGACTATGCATATATGCATATAAGTTTCACGGTTAATCTCCCTGACCATCTTCTCCCCCACCTTCTCTCTGAAATTCATCAGTCTGTCCCATGCTTCTATGTCTCTGTATCTATTTTATCCATCAGTTTATTTTGGTCATTAGATTCCACATATGAGTGAGATCATGTGATATTTATCTATCTCTGACTGGCTTATTTTGCTTAGCATTATACTCTCCAGGTCCATTCATGCTATTGCAAAAGGTAATAGTTCCTTCGTTTTTAAAGCCATATAGTATTCTACTATGTAAATGTACCACAGCTTTCTTATCGACTCATCTGCTGAAGGGTACTTGGGCTATTGCAAATTGTGCTGTTATGAACATAGTGTTTCAGATTTCTTAGGATATCTTCCTAGAAGTAGGATCACTGGGTCAAATGGTAGTTCCATTTTTAATTTTTTGAGGAAACTCCATACTGTTTTCCACACTGGCTGAACCAGTCTGCATTCCCACCAACAGTATACTAGGATTCCCTTTTCTCCACATCCTTGCCAACACTTGTCATTTGTTGATTTGTTGATGATAGCCATTTTGACTTATTGAGGTGATACTTAATTGTTGTTTTAATTTTCATCTATCAGATGATTAGTGACTTTGAGTATTTTTTCATATGTCTCCTGGCCTTCTGTATGTTCACTTTGGAGAAGTGTCTATTTAGGTCCTTTGTCCATTTTTAAATTGGATTGTTGGTCTTCCTTTTGTTAAGTTGTATGAGTTCTTTATGTATTTTGGAAATTAACCCCTTTCCAGATGTATCATTGGCAAATATGTTCTCCCATGCAGGGGGCTTTCTTTTCATTTTGTTGATGGTTTCTTTTGCTGTGCAGGAACTTTTTATTTTGATGTAGTC